GAAAAGACGTGATTATGAAGAATATAAACAGAACAAATTTTTAAGATCGCTGATCAAGCGCAACTCGGCGTAGAGGTAAGTTCCGCCATTTCGTTCGAGAGTGTGTACCGCCTGCTCAGACAATCGCCACGGGCAGGCGGTCCGCAAACTCGCGCTTTTCTGCAGGCGGTCAGCAGAAATTTGGGGCGTGGCCAAACCCCCAGCGGGCGGCACTTCCTTTGCTGTCGCATATTCTGCCAGCGGGCAGCAATACAGCATTTTCTGCAAGCGCTCGGCAAATACTTTCTTTCAACGAGCGCTGGCTAAACTTTCAGCAAGCGCTATGACTGTTTTAACGCAGTTTCGGGCATACGCCGAGTAAAGATGAGACTCTATGTGGCAGAGGTGTCACCGTTGGTTTAATTACTCAAGTTTGAGGTACTTTCTCTCAGCGGAAAGTACCTGAGGGCTGCGCGGTCTTCCACAAAGGACCGTGCGGCCCTCGAAAATTTTGCATATTCTTGCGGAAAGTCCGCAAGAATGCGGCCACTGCGCCGCAGCTTATCCATAAGAAAACCGCGATTGTTCTTCAAGCATTCGTCTAAAATTTCGCTAAAATTCTTCCAAATATCTGCAAGCGGATCGCAAGAAATCAGCGAACTATTTTTCCGGTGCCCGCCCGCCCATAAATCGCATGGCCGCCTGCCCCCGGCGATTATCTGAGTAGGTGTCATCGATGGTTCAATTACTCAAGTTTGAGATACCTTCTTTCAGCGGAAGGTACCTACGGGCTGGGCGGTCCTTCACAAAGGACCGTGCGGCCCTCAATATTTTTGCATATTCTCGCGGAAAGTCCGCAAGAATGCGGCCACTGCGCAGCAACTAATCTATAGAAAAACCACGATACTTCTCCGAACATTCCTTTGAAAATTGGCCAACATTCTCTCGAATTTTTGCAAGCGGACCGCATGAAATCAGCGAACTATTTTTCCGGTGCCCGCTTGCTCAAAATTCGTATGGCCGCCTGCCCCGGCGATTATCTGAGTGACGGTCCGGCTACCCATTTCCGTGTGAAACCGGGTACGCGCTAGTAAAAGAAAAAAGGGAGGAGATTAAAATGTATGAGGTAAACGAATGTAGTAGTAGGGAGTAGATGGGGAGCCTGCGTGGCAGGGGGCGCTTCCTCTTACGATGCGACAAAAATTTGCCAAACTCTCTCGAAGAATTCTCAAGGTCACAAAACAAATAAGGAGATCAACGAGACTATAAAAAAACTAAAGGTTTGTCGGTGTTTCAGTCAATGTTCCAGCAGCCTTCTAAATCGACGAGCGAATTTTGAATACTTGCTAACTTGTCAGACAAGGCACCTTATCCCCTTTATGGACTTGGGTGATAATGGTTTGCACCGATGATAAAGAGCAGCTGCTTATCCATTCCCGTTGGTGAAGCATCCTCTTACAGCTGCTCGCGGTAACACACGGCATGAATATGTTGGATAAACGTTCATCAGTAGGATATACGTCAGAATGGCACGTAGCTGCTTGTGACGTATTCTGCTAACACTCGGCAAATTCCTAAGAAAGCAATTTGAGTTGACAAGGAACGCTTTTGTATAACACCCACAACTGCACAAATCATGAGCCACGCAACATGAATGGGTACAAATCATGAACCAGTTGCACTATGGAGGCAATCCAAACAAACTGCACATTCTTTGTGAAAAAAGCCATAAACAATCTTAACAGCTTTGATATGCTGATGTAAATCCATTACTTGATCAATTCTTTTGAACAGATATCCGTAACGTTCTACATGAAAAAAAGAGTTAAAGCAACGTAAAAACAAAAATGCGGAAGAACAACACGAAAACAAGGAGAAACCTGTTAAAAGCGATTCGAAGCAGACCTAAAAGCGACGAGAACTTTATCGAAAATAGCGCAAGATGCGTATCAGCTTAATTGGCTGCGTCTCATTTCCCCCGAGGTTCTGGAGGTTTTGGATATTTTCAGGAAACGTTTCTCTTAATTCCCCGGAAATCTTAGCCTCATATTTTATCACCGCGAGAGAACCGCTCACCTTAGGCCCCCCGACTTACCTGGCAATTTCAACATTCAAAAGTGTTCCTCGGAACAACTCGGAGATTTCAGTATTCTCCGGTGGAGTCAGCGATAATCTGGGTAGATGTTACTTTGCCACGCTTATGATCCATAGCATTCTACCACTGCGCGAAGGATGCAGGCCATCTGTTTAAAGCTTCGTAGATTATGTGTCCTATACAACACACAGGAGCTAGCACAATTCATGCACCACTCCACCTAAAGCACTAAAAATTGTGCATACAGCCAACACACAAGGATATTAATTTTGTACCAACCTGATAGTTTTCATGTTCGGGGGTTTGGTGCAAAGACTCCGCGAACATTGGCAAGGATAAATTTGCTTGTATTTTACATGGGATTGTGCACTGGGCCAGCGGTTTCAGATGTTTAACGCAACTTAATAATCATTTGCCACAACCAGTCTCTGTTTTGACAGGATACAAGTCTCAAATCTTGCTTTGCAGGAGGATTGCAAGAAGACGTTCAAGCTCCATTTTCAGTAGGTAAGCTGTTTTGGTTTTGGTTTATTTTTCGCGCGATGCTTTCAAGAAGCGATAGTCAGCGATTTCAAATCGACATAACTGCGCTACGATTCTGAAGATATGGGAGTAAACAATGCACTTAAACACATAAAACATCTCCACAAAAATGGTTCAAAACAAGTCATTGGGATAAAGCCAGTTTAACACTACATTATCAACATAGTACGAACTTGAGCCTCTCTTTGACGCTTTCACATTGCTCTTGCTAGTTTCTTGCAGGTAAGACCGTCTCTCCATGACTTCACTAATCCATTTTGGAAGAAATACACGAAAAAGAATGAAGTCTTTCCACCAGTTATATTTGCTTGTAACCGCAATCCAAGTTTTGGCGCAGAACATTTCAACTGCCAAAGCCATCCTTATTTTGAAGAACGAAAGCAATGTTTTTCTATATTATTTTTCTATTCTGACTTCATTAATATTACCAGTGCGCCACCTCTGCTTCCCAAAGGCTCGCTCTGATTCTGCTACCAACTTCTCTTCCTCGTGCTCGCATTATGGCTTTGAACTCACCACTCTATGCTGAGTAAAGCGAATGAATTGGAAACAACTACTACCCTAATTTCAGCGTATAAGGCGCACTTTTTCGAATTTTCAAGCGAGCCGCTCAGCCGCTTCACTGTATTCCGGGAAGAAATCCTTACATCGCACGATTTCTCAAGCAATATACAGTACGTTATAGGGTCCTTTGCTTGTAAAGTCCTTTGGCTTGTCTGAGCTGGTCGATTTTGGAAAAAAAAATCCCCCGCGCCTTATACGCGTGAAATTAGGGTAATCTATAAGCGCTTTCATGAGAGATCGATCAATTTGGGAGGAAGAAGGGTTCTCCTAAAAAATGTGGGCAAATTTAAAAGTTGCTAGTGAGGTTGTTATGAATTGTTATTGGCGACTGGATCGCCATAAAGACAATGACAACCGTGAGTTACATCTCCGATCAGAAATCTCCAAAAATTCTTAGGTAAATCCTTCATAAATCAACAACCTAGCAAATATTCCTCGCGCTGATTTTGCCGAAAAAATAGAGTTTTTGCTCACTTTTTGGGCTGAAGTCCATAGCTTGCGATTAAGCTCTTGAGCAAATTTACGACTTTACAAGAAGTCCAATTAAGGACCCACTTCGGCGAGCTCAAAGTAAATGTTTTTCATTTATCCAATCGGCTTATGTTTTCGCCAGTTAGCCTACCTGCTGATAGAATACTATGGCCAACATTCTAGCTCGACCTGCAACTTGCGCCGTAATCTTGTGACGTACATACATACATACAGACAGACAAACAAACGTAAACAACCCTTAGCCCGTTATTATTGAGTCATAGATTGCTACGCGCACGTAATGAGGCGTAATGAATATCGAAGTTACATTAACAGGATAGGAATCGGTTCAAATACATAATTCCGTCAAATGAACGTTGTTTCGTCAGTCGTTTATGGAATATAAACATCTTCTCGAGCTATTTTTGTATGATTTTTCATTTACTAGTTTTCACACATGTTAAACCGAGATTGTGCTGGAAAGCTCTAGCGTGACTCAAAAGCATCTCAAATTCTGAACCTTTTTTGCGTACCTCAGAGAGAATTTGATAACTTTTCAAATCATAAGCCTAAACTCAAGATTCTGTACTGATGAAGTAGAAGAAGGTTTGCGCTTCACGATTGCCACTTCGTCGCTAATTTCATCTAACCTTGGAGAACAAAGTTTCCAAAAATGGTGCCCAAAATTTCCTCTCGAGTTTGGTTGCAAGGAATACCAGAGTGCCGCTAGTAAGCTTCGAAAAATTTGTGAAAACTTCCTTTATAGTAATAATCCATATGTATTTTACGTGACAGACTCCAATTTCGCCTAAGAATGTAGGAACAAAAATCCTGTGAAAGATGCCATTTTGCAAAGATAAACTCCTGGTTGCACCGCTGTCAGCAAGAACGCATTTTGACTCCCCAAAAAGTGTTTTTCAAGTGCACTGGGCCAAATTTCCGGTTTCAATATCAGTGTTTCTGAAGAAAAAAAATTCTGCGTCAAAAAGATTCTCTTCTCTAAAATGGCATTTTTTTACGAATTTTTGGTTTTCCCATTTTTATGTTAGTTCCTGGGCTGGCACGGTGATATATGGCCTACTGTTCACATTTTTTTTGGGAGATAGCTAGCGGCACTCGTGTATATTTTAACACTAAACACAAAATCATATTGAAGTTATGCTTTTGAAAGCTTACCTCCTAGATTAGGTCGTAAAAAGTAGAGATCAAGCACCATCGCATAGCCGCATCTTCTTCGATTTTCAAGTACAAAATGTTGAAGTTAGGTTTAGAATTTGAAAATTTATCTGATCAAAAGTAATGAATTTTTTTGAATCACGCTAGAACTTTTGCAACAATCTAAAATCTCCTAGGCATGAAGTGGCACGTGATCTTTTTCTTCGTCGTCCTATTTTGCATTGGAATTTTTGACACAGAGGTAAGTTGAAGAAGTCTCACCCATACGATAGTTCACCCGTCGCGTTGTGCAATTGCACCACATTTGAATTTGCACTGGGAACGCAGATCAAAACATAGGTGTTATATTTTCATATTTTATTCATACTGCTTCCTCAATCCGACTAGACCGCCGCTGGCCTGCTCTAACGATTGTAAAAGTGGTGCAATTGCAGAAAACTATCGTCCCAACTTTGTAGTTGTTAAAACGAGGACGTTGTACAATTCAGCATGATTTTTTTCAGGCTGCTTGCAAGAAACCTCCAAAAAGAAGGGGAAGGGGAAAGCGTGCTGCCGACGCTGAACAAAAAACAGTTGGACGTATCAACAGGAAATACATAGGAGACCAGGAGATTATTGAAATTGAGGATATGACCTCTCTTCCTGAAAATTTCTAATTCTTCGCCTGAAAAATAGCATTGAAGTAAAATTATGAATTTTTGCAATTGTGTTTCTTTGCCTCATCTTCAATGACAATGTCATTCTTTTTAGAAAGGAGCCTGAAATTGCAGAGATTGATTTGCAATTTCAAGAAGGCTGGAGTAAGTAAAACTTCTGTAGATGTGCGAAGGCCTTTTTATTGAAACGTTGAACTCAACAAATATCCTTGCAGAAATTTGAGAATCAAATTGGCAGAGTTACGTCGGTCTGAAAATTTGATGAAAGATGACTTTTTTAGCTTAACATTTTTCAAGAAAAGTTTCTGTCGGATTGAAAAATGTTGCTCTTATTCCTCTGAACCTCAAAAGCCTTGATACGGCGCATTTTTTCTTAGAAATTTCCTGTCATTCTCGTAATTTTTCATGCTGTGCATGTCCTACAGCCAACTATGACGAAATCGCTTCTTAAACAAGACTTATGCTGAAAGGGCGACTCGGAACTACTAAAAGGTTACATTGACAAGATCCCCCCCCCCCTACACACAACCGTTTCAGCGGGTCTCCTCGTCTAAAAGAGGGACAAAGCATCTTTTGACTCATTGAGAAGGTTAGAGCAACTCGAAAGCCCAGACTTTAGGAATGATTAGATGTAGATAAAAAACCGGAAATAAGCAGAGGTCCCTTCCAAGTATTTTCCCTGTATTGGATTCGATAATGGTCTAAAATGACCTGTAAGCGGATAACGAGTGAATCCGATAACCGGATAGGCGGCAGATCCTCAACCTCTAATTACTTTTCCACTCTTACCTTCCAGATCCCTGAAATTGAAAATTCGCAGCCAGTCTATGCCATTTTTGACAGCAAACTTCGAAAAACATTGCTTCAGTGTGATAAATGACGAGTTTTATTCACTTCATCAAATTCGCAGTGCCTGAAGCTCGCACCGATTTGTGGATCAATATTACAGATACGAAGAGAAAGATTTGATAGAAATTTGAAGGAGCCGTTTAGTTTTCTAGATTGAACTCTAATGATCGAATAATGGTCGATGTTTCAGGCAAAAAAATCTGATATTACTTCTTTAATTCATTTCTCAGCACCTAAATCTTTGTTTTTCGCAGTTGTTCAATAGTGATACCAAGAAACTTGCGAGACACTTTAGCTTGAAAAATCTCACATTAATAAAACACAACACTTATTGAGCTTCCGTCTGACGGTACAACCATTCTTCTGCTTCTGCGTATCTGATTACGAATTAGATTTTTGCGGGAGAAGATTTTCGATGTTTGCCTTTTGTTGCAATCCTGTGACAACGAGTATAAAATTTTTCAAGGTTTTCCTGGTTCATTATTTATTCCTTGAATATAGGCAATAAAAGATTTGTTCAATACTTGGGCAAATGGAATCACATCTCATGAAGTGTGCATTCAAATATAGTGATGAAGTATGAAGTTGGTTGTATTAGGTTGGAAGAAAAAACTGCCGCTTTTTATTTCCTCTTTATGGCATCGCAATAAGGCAAATCCCAGAAAGGTATATGGGGTACGATAGAGCGCAAGCTCTACAAAACGACTTTACTGCTTTTGCAAGGGTAGGGGAACGAAGGCCGCCAGTTTGGGCCACTTCCGCGGACTACTGGTCCTGGAACGGCATACAACAACACTGCAAAAGGAGCAGTGGGCAGCGAGAGGGGGCGGCTCAAACTGGCGGCTTTCGTTCCCCTATCCTTTTTGCACCAAGATCCACGTGAAATTTAAAGTCGAAATCTGTAGAATTTTAAATGACTGAAAATAAAAGTATCTCCGCTCAAAAACGTCTATGAACCCCAAACTTGCTCATGGGCATACACCCTTCATAGTAAAATCATGATCAACCGAGATCAAATTTGCTCGCTATGCTAAATTTGGAAACCCATTCGAGAAGTATACTAGCTAAAATTCAAGCATCGCAAACAAGAAAACGTTATATGCATAAGCAAGAGATAATCTTTTTAAAAGCGCTTCAGACTACTTCCATCAGCACGAGACCTCTATAAAGTCATACTAGGATCTCTTTCTGACCGAAAGGGCAAGCACAGTTCTGATCAACAAGTCAAGTGTCCTTTATTGTTTAAGTTTTTACATCTGTATGCTTCAGTTTGCTGTCGCGAGATTGTAGTTGAAGTTCAACCGTTTCTAACGTCACAACAACTGTAGGAAAAGATCAGCTGTGGCAACATACCCAGAAGGACTTGTTTCTACCTCATCGAATGTTTATTTGCTGTAACACTACAAGAATGCAATGAAATTTTCAACATTAGTTAAATACGGTACTAAGGGCTGTTCGCTGGGGGAATGCAGCTGTGGCAATCAGTTCATAACCGAAATGTCTACAATTTCTGTGTAAGCACATGGCAGCTGTATGATGTAATGCTGGTATATAAGCCAAAATTGATAGGTCTCATCAAAGTGGAGCACACAACAGTGGGCCGCTTTGAAATACTCTTCGTATTTCTTCCCATTGTTGTTTTCCTTTGGCGTTTGCCTTCAGTCTTTTTCGACACCTACCCCAAATTGAACCAAGAGGCTCAGATTGATCCAGTGATACATAGGCAAATTTCGTCTTGAGTGAATCTCTCAACTACTCTAAACAAGGAATGTATCGTGCTATTAATAGCTATTGATGTAGTGACTGGGCAGGCCCATTACCCTCAAGTTTGTTCCTACAAAGGCTTTCAATCTGAGTGTCACGGTCGGCAACGATCGCATCTTCGAGCGCCTCACTTGGGCCACTCGACACGTTCGCGAACCTATCTTGGGGCATTTTTCCAAGCTCGTCAACCATTGATGTCCAAGGATACGGTATCTTCCACGCCTCAAGCGTGGGAAATACCATCTGTGGGCGAATGTGGCAAGAGACTCAAGCGAGGTGGACCCAAGCAGCTCCGACCGTGACACTCATTTTGAAAGTCCTTTTCCCTTTGTCTTTTCTCGGTCTCCAAATATGCACGAGCAGGACAAAAATAATAACCTTCTTCAAAATTTTAGCTGATGAAGGTTGACGAGTAAGCACTAAATTCACAAGAATTAAAGTCGTGTAAGTCCGTGATTAAATGTGCATTGTGCGCACTAAATGCTTGGACACAAGTGAAAGTAAAGCTGGCTTAGGGAAATAGTCTAAAAGCAATTTTTCCGAGACCCTTCTGACGCTCTTAGAAGAATCGCACCTGAACTGCTGGCGAGCAAACTTGGACTGAAGCTTACCATTATTGAGTGGACGAGCAACTTACTACGACAAACTTCAATTGTTTTGATTGCCTTCGAGTAAGTTCTCAGACAGTCGACGGCGTACCTCCGGAGCAGAAATGACCGAGCCGCGGGGTTTCCCCAGCGGGGGATTGCCACTCGTGCTCCGGAGCCCTCCCACTCGTGCTCCGGTGCCCTCCCATCTTGCACCGCCCCCTCGCCTCGCTCTCAATGGTCAATTGGGTCCTCCGCGGCTCTGCCAGATTTCGACTGTCCTCCGGAGGTACGGCACCGACTGTCTGAGTTCTTTCACTGCCACTCTTTTTCGGTCACCTGCTCATTAGGTGCTAACATAAACTATTCTGCTTTCTGCATTCTTGCAATAGTAGCGATAGTGAAATGCGAGAAAGTGGATCTAGAAATCAAATTATACTCTGTTCATCTGATCACCCCTCCTACACTTCATACCAACGAGTCGAGTATAACTACTGCTAGATTGGGTATTGGAAGGCAACCACGTACCTCAAGACGAAGTGGTCAACATTTCGGTGTTAAAGGCAATGGATCGGCAAAACTTAACAACGCATGATTTCAACGCTGTAGGTTCCTTATCCCCCACATATGAAAAGAGTGCAATCCCGGTTGCACAGCATGCCTTCCCTGCTGAGGAAACTGCTCTCAAACTTATACGCGCCCGGACGAGTTGGCAATTTCCTTCCCACCATTGGAGGCTGCCCGCCGCATGCTATAACCATTGGGCCCTGCAACGATTCAGCGTCATCAGCCTCGCTACATTCGTCACACTTCGAAGGGAAGGGCATTCAAAAACGCATGTATTCGCCTTTTCAAGCTCTCTGATTTGGATTTTCGGGATCATCGTATTGAATAACCCCAGGCAAGCAAAAATTTGACTAGGTTGCGATTTGCCGAGCCACTGCCTTTGAGCCGCCTGCAATTTGCTATAGAGTCAAAATGCTTAAAATCACCTCGATTACTAATTTTGTTTCGGTTGATTCCCGACTATACCGGGGAGTTCTACAGAATAATCAAACAAAAGCTTACAAAACTTGTTGAATATTCGTGAAGCGCATAAACCTTCTTGAGTGATCTGACCGTTGTTGAAATACTGGAATCATTTTCAAGATTTCAAATGATCAACAGACCTCAGCGAAAAGAGCAATCCTGTTTTCATAGAAAGAAAATGAGCTGCCTTATAATAGAATGCTACATTTCAGAAAGCATGGCGTATAAACTTTTCCTGATTTTGCTTCTATTGCAAGTGCATGCAGCAATGGGTAAGGGAAGCTGCTTTTGGAGCTACTTAGGCAGGTTCTTCCCCTGTATAGAAACAACTGAAACTGAGGGAGAGAACTATGATGATCTGGGAAGATTTGTGAGTTTCTCCACGTAATGATATACACCAAAGATATAAACAATACTTTACAGTGCCGAGCGTTTTGCAGTTATAGACGTATTGGGTACCAACCGTGCATAGAAAAGTGCATGAAAGATTATCAGTACTTCAATTTCGAGAATGGATCGACACCCGCACCACTACCTGTCAGATTACCTCTGTACAAGTTGGCCTAGAAGCGATGGAGACGCCATTCGCCATTTATGCAGTTAAAGCGGTGAACAGTAAAAGTTTGCTGAGGATTTTGTTCTTCTCAGAAATTGATGTATGTAGGTAACGTTACAGCGTTATACTACCCATTGAAACGAGATTAGCGTGGTGGCTGGAATGCGATCGCTCTCGCCCGCGAAGAAGTCTGCCTCTCTCTCGCGAAGGTGCTCCCTTATAATCTAGTTAATTAGATCACGAGGCTC